GAGTTGCTGAGACAACCAAACGAGCCCCCTAGCTACCCAAGGAGTCCATGAGCTACCCAAGGAGTTCCTGAGCTACCCAATGAGTCTCTGAGCAACCCAACAAGTCTCTGAGCTACTCAAGAAGTCTCTGAGCTACCTAAGAAGTCTCTGAGCTACCCAAAAAGTCCCTAAGCTACCCAACGAGTCTCTGAGCTATCCAAGACGTCTCTGAGCTACCCAAAGAGTCCCCGAGCTACCCAATGAGTCCCTGAGCTATACAACAAGTCCCTGAGCTACCCAAGGAGTCCCTAAGCTACCCAGCGAGTCCCTAAGAAACCTAACGACCCTGAGCTACCAAACAAGTCCCTGAACTCCCAAAGAGTCCCAAGCTACCCGAGTCTCCAAGCTACCCAACGAGTCCCTGAGCTACCCAAGGAGTCCCTGGGTCAACCAAGCCTTAGAACATATAAAGTCCAATCTGACACCTCTTTGCTGCAAATATTATTTATCATGTTCCAAATGTCTGTTTAAAGTATATCTTAGGTCCTTATTTACTGTTTTTTTTTATACATTTTTGCTACTGGTGGGTGTAACTGGGACCCTGAGAACATAATTTTGTTCCACCTCATGTACCACATGTGATGTGAATGACAATAACTTGATTTGAACACATCTGGAGGCTGATCACATTCTTGCAAGAATTCATTTGTGGAGAAAGCCGGACATAAGTCTGACACTATCATGTTCTTTATAGCTGTATGAAAGTATTGAAAGTATTGTCTACTCTGAACCTGTTCTGAACCTATCTGGACATGTTCTGCATCTGTGCGGACATGCTCTGGACATTTTCGGAACCTGGGGAGTGGGTGGGAGATGGGTGAGAGATGCGGAGCAATACACCTGTAGCTTTTTAACTAGAGTGGGGGAGTAACGGTAGAGTTGGAGTTGTGGGTGAAGGACATTTCGGTTGGTAGGGTGCTCGGTTCTGTTGACAGGGCAAAGTGCCCTCGGATAACCATAGGGGAAACACTGGTATGGACATGTTCTGGACCTGCGTGGACCTGGACTTGAGTGGACGTGTTCTGGACCTGTGTGGATTTGTTCTGGACTTGAGTGGACCTGTTTTCTGTCCTCTCTCTGAAAGTAGAAGGGGACACCTTTTGGAGCGCCTCCTGCTGATTGGGGGTGAGTGGCGGCAGGCCCAGTTTGGTGGTGGTCGGAGTTGTGGTGGTGCTGCTCTGTCCATTCTCCATGATGGGAGCTGGTCCTCCCTGTGAACGAATCAAACACACCCTCACAACTTCTGGTCAATCATAATTATCCTTCTGGTGAACTGATCAGTTTTTCATTTACGTTCAACCAGACTTTCAATAAACTGACTGAAAAATAATAAGAAGCCAGTAACAATAAGACTGACTGGCTGTATTCATACCCATCTGCTCACCACAGAGTCAAGTTCGGACTGCTGTTTAATATACTGTATTATTTTTACATTAGTAGTGTTTAGAGTATATCTTAGGTATTTTAGCGTATTGTTTAGCATATATCTTAGATCCTTATATATCATTTTATTTATTTATTTATTTTTTTGATGAGAAAAAAATACCGGTATACATTTTTTGCTATTTTTGAATGTAACTGGGACCTTGAATACACAATTTCATTCCACCTCATGTACCACATGTGATGCAAATGACAATAAAGAACCTTGAAAAATAAACAGTCTGATCAATCACCTGACTGATCAATAACCTGAATGATCAATAACCAGTCTTGATCAATAACTATTCTGATCGATAATCTGACCTATCAATAACCAGTCTGATAACATGACTGAAAAAACTGATCAATAACTAACCTGATCGATAACCAGCCTGATCAATAACATGATTGATCAAAAACCAGACTGATCAATAACCAGACTGATCAATAACCATTCTAATCAATAACCAGTGTAATTAGTAACCAGTTTGATCAATAACCAGTGTGATCAATAACCGGTCTGATAAATAACGTGACTGATCAATAACTTGACTGATAGATAACCAGTCTGAATAATCTGACTGATCAAAAACCAGAGTGACCGATAACCAGTCTAATCAATAACCAGCCTGATCAATATTCAGTCTGATCAATAACATGACTGATTGATAACCTGACATAACCATTCTGATCGATAATCTGACTGATAAATAACCTGACTGATGGATTAGCAGTCTGATCAATAACAATTCTGATCAATAATCTGACTTATCAATACCAGTCTGATTGATAATCTGACTGAAAAAACTGATCAATAATAAGCTTGACTGATAACATGACTGATCGATAACAAGGCCGATCAAAATCCAGACTGATCAATAACCAGTCTTATCGAAAACCAGTCTAATCAATAACCAGACTGATCAATAAGCAGAATGATCAATAACCAGTCTGATTGATAACATTGTAATTAATAACCAGTCTGATCGATAACCAGTGTGATCAATAACTGCTCTGATCAATAAACTGATTGGTCAATAAACTGATAAATAAGGTGACTGATCAATAACCTGACTGATGGATAACCAATCTGATCAATATCCTGACTGATCAAAAACCAGACTGATGGATAACCAGTCCGATCAATAACCTGACTGGTCAATAACCTAACTGATCAATAACTTGACTGATGGATAACCAGTCTGATCGATAACCTGACTGATCAATAATCAGTTCGATCAATAACAATTCTGATCAATAATCTGACTTATCAAAAACCAGTCTGATCGATAACCAGACTGATCGATAACCCGTCTGATCAATAACGTGACTGATCGATAACCTGACATAACCATTCTGATCAATAATCTGACTGATAAATAACCTGACTGATGGATTAACAGTCTGATCAATAACAATTCTGATCAATAATCTGACATCAATAACCAGTCTGATTGATAATCTGACTAAAAAACTGATCAATAACCAGCTTGACTGATAACATGACTGATCGATAACAAGACTGATCAAAAACCAGACTGATCAATAACCAGTCTTATCGATAACCAGAATGATCAATAACCATTGTAATTAATAACCAGTCTGATCGATAACTAGTGTGATCAATAAACTGACTGGTCAATAAACTGACTGATAAATAAGGTGACAGATCAATAACCTGACAGATGGATAAACAATCTGATCAATATCCTGACTGATCAAAAACCAGACTGATCGATATCCTGACTGGTCAATAACCTAACTGATCAATAACTTGACTGATGGATAACCAGTCTGATTGATAACCTGACTGAAAAAAAGCTGTTCAACCAGCCTGATCACAACATGACTGATCAAAAACCAGACTGATCAATAACCAGACTGACCGATAACCAGTCTAATCAATAACCAATCTGATCAATAACCAGACTGATCAATAACCAGCCTGATCGATGACCAATCTGATCAATAACCAGACTGATCAATAACCAGCCTGATCGATGACCAGTCAATAAGGTGACTGATCGATAAACTGACTGAGGGATAACCAGTCTGATCGATACAGCTAATCAGAAGTGAACAGTGGTCATGTAGCTGATCAGAACAGATGATCCGTTAGCATTAGCTCACAGTCGGTGAAGCCCCGCCCCCTCTCCTCATTGGTCGGGAGGCTCCGGGGTGTTCTCTGTGGACCAATCGCTTCTCGGTTTGTTTGAACCCGGTCTTGTTTTCGGAGCTTCGGGCCTGTTAGCATTAGCGTTAGCTCCGGTTCGTACCGCAGAAACAGCCGCCGCCATGAAGCTCCTACTCCCCGATTGTTCTCCTCGACTCTTCGATTCTCCTCCCAGTTCTTAGAAATGCTTTATGTCCGAACTTTGTATCTTCTGGTGTAAATGTTTGTCAGGTATGAGAACTGTTTTCAGCCAGGAAAACATCAACGCTCCGCCTGAGGTCACTTCCGGTTTAAAGTGGCTTTCACAATAAGAGAGTACTTTCACAATACAATCAAAATCATGATTCAGGCAGAAAAACAAAATGTTGGAAAGATAAAAACACAAAACATTAAAACAAGTCTCCACCAAACTGTTTCCCCCCTACCTTCTTCTTCTTTCAGCTGTTCCCTTTTCATTCATTCATTCAGCCTTTTTTTTCATCCATCATCCATCCAATTTCTTCCGCTTATCCTGGGTCGGGTCGCGGGGGTAGCAGCTTAAGTAGGGAGGCCCAGACTTCCCTCTCCCCAGCCACTTGGGCCAGCTCCTCCGGGGGAATCTCAAGGTGCTCCCAGGCCAGCCGAGAAACAGTCTCTCCAGCATGTCCTGGGTCTTCCTCTGGGCCTCCTCCCGGTGGGACGTGCCCGGAACACCTCACCAGGGAGGCGTCCAGGAGGCATCCTAACCAGATGCCCGAGCCACCTCAACTGGCTCCTCTCGATGTGGAGAAGCAGCAGCTCTACTCTGAGTCCCTCCTGGATGACCGAGCTTCTCACCCTATTTCTAAGGGAGAGCCCAGACACCCTGCGGAGAAAACTCATTTCGGCCGCTTGTATCCGTGATCTCGTTTTTTTCGATCACAACCCAAAGCTCGTGACCATAGATGAGGGTAGGAACGTAGATCGATGGAGGAGATGATTGTGGACTTCAGAAGGAACAAAAACATCTACACCCCCCTGAACATAAGAGGATCTGCAGTGGAAGTGGTCTCCAGCTACAAGAACTTGGTGTGCACCTGAACAACAACCTCAGCTGGAGCAACAACACCACCAGCCTGATGAAGAAAGATCATCAGAGACTCTACTTCCTCAGGCGGCTGAGACGATCTGGTCTGGAAGCTCAGTCCTCACCTCCTTCTACAGGTGTGCAGTGGAGAGCATCCTGTGCTCGAGCATCAATGTGTGGCATGGAGGCTGCACAGCTGCACAAAGAAAAGCTTTGCAGAGAGTGGTGAAGGCTGCACAGAAGATGTTGGAGTCAGCCTCCCCACCATCACAGACATCTACACCTCCAGATGCAGGAAGAGGACCACCTGCATCATGAAGGACCCCACCCACCCAGCACACACACTTTTTGCCCTGCTCCCCTCAGGAAGGAGGTTGAGGAGCATTAAGTGTAGAACCACTAGACTGAGGAACAGCTTCTACCCTGAGGCTGTTAGACTCATGAATCTCTAACCAGAATAATCACATCATGTTGCTGCTGATCTGTTTAATGTTGCTGCTGATCTGTTTCATGTTGCTGCTGATCTGTTCCATGTTGCTGCTGATCTGTTTCATGTTGCTGTGTTCATACGTGCTCATCTGCTCACAGCGACTCATGTTCGTGCTGCTGTTCAACGTAATGTTTTTATGCTATTAGTGCTTAGTGTATATTTTGTTCATGTTTTTCTTAGTTCATATCTTAGATCTTATTATGGTATTTATTTTATGTTTTATTGATGGATGTAACTGGGACCCTGTGGACATAATTTCGTTCCACCACATGTACCACATGGGGTGCGAATACCAAATAAAGAACCTTGAATCCTTGAATGTGTACAACTTTTATTATGTGATTTTTAATCATTTTAATTATCTGACTGTACCACTATACCACTGTTCATATTCAAACTACTGTTTATATTCAAACTACTGTT